TCATCCGCATCCTCGTCCCGCAGCAAATGGAGAGGCCGTAAAGCGTCGTCCCCATCAGCTGCATCTTCATGTTCGTCTTCCTCGTCGTCGTCGTTGTCAGACTCGTCGTCGGACTCGTCGTCGGATTCGTCTTCAGACGAACCCAGCTCGCGACACCGACGGCGAGTCAAAAATCTACAAAATCCAAAAAATCAAATCGAGGATCGTTGGGCAGCTCAGCCCAAAGGCGGTGGAAGACAAGATATTATGAAGTCCAACACGGCCTCAACGCAGGACTGCAACGGACCCTGCGAAGGACCAGGCGGGACCTGCGCAGCGTGAAGGGCGGGCAACGGCTGGCCAGGAGAATCCGGAATGGTGAGAAGTTGCTGTCTGATAGGCAGGAATGGCTTGTTGTTGCAGATGTGCAACAACACACACACAAGGTCACAAGGTCACGTGTGTGTGTGTGGCAGAAGCATGTGAGTGAGAAAAGAAGCATATTGGTGGCTTCTTCCTTCAGCAGTGCTTTACCTGCTAGAGTAAAGTCTCAATAGAAATATTAACAGCAATTCAGCTAGTGGACTCAGAGAAGTTCATCATCATCTTCATAGTGTTTCTTGCGATAAGGCAAGATGGAAGAGGACCATCCTAGGAACTGTGAAACAATTAGCTGACGCGGTTGCAAGGAGAGAGCAGCCGATGTATGTTCTTTGGTCGCCGGTGATTCAACAATATCTGCAAGTTCCCTACACATGGTCATCTGAAAAAGTGAAGGGGTCACCAACCTCTTGTGGGATCAGATACATACTCCAACACACTGGCAGCCATGGCACTACATGTACTTTGTTATCAGCCAGTGTGGTCAGCACCAAACTGAAGAAGTACTCCAAGGTCTTGTCAACTACATATGTCATGTACATTCCAAGCAAGAACGTACCGCCATGAGTGGTCCCCATTGAGATCCGCCTGTGGCTGCCGGTGGTCGTATATCAACGTGTTCTGGGTTTTTCTTTAGCCATCCTTCCATGACGCTCGCCATGCTGAAATAGTGTAGCACATCAGAACAGTAGTGCATGTTATGCTGATGTAAGACACAAGGGATGTACACCAACATTCTCAAGAGAGGCTTTTACTCGAGATGGGCTTCTAATCAAATGAGTACGGCAAGTACTTCTTCCCGTTTCCAGGAAGGGTGGAGTTGGCTCCGGGCTTTCACTGTCAATAGTGTAGTGGTTCTACAAACGCACCAAAGACATCTTGTAACTAGCTTCGTTACTACAAATCACAAGTGTGTGGGAATCCAGAGAACGACAGAGAGGTCAAAGGAAAAGCCAGGCAGGCAAGTACAGCTAAAGTGCGTACGGTACAACTGGCATGTCGCACAGCGCGGCCGGATGAATGCATACATGTTACATAAAAGGATACAATGACAAACAGTGGGATGTGCATCCACTACAAATAGGTTCCTCCCCCCTGTAGAGATCGCTGGATCCGCCGCTGCATACACACACCCATACCAGTATATATAAACACACACATACACACACGCACGTGCACACACACACACAGGTGATACAAACATAGCTCAGTGCTTACGCTGCAAAGCCCGCAAAAGCCACATCCGATCGATCAATATCCAGCGTAAAAGCATGGGCCATAGATATGTGAAAGCGTAACCAAGCATGGGACAATGATAGCGGTTCCAGCCATGTTACAAGACCTTGCAACCAGTTGCGTTGACCTCCTACAAGATAAGAAAGGAAGCAACATCACGGGTATCGGGCTAGAGTATTTTTTTACAAGGAGCCAAACACACTGGGCGCATATGCATTAGAAACTCAGCCGCACACTCAGTGTCACATACATTGTACTTGAAGTATGAAATTAAAAGGGAAGTTAAGGCAAAAATTAAAATTTCACCATTTGTAGTCTTCGGGGTGCTGAGTCGAATGGTCTTGGTCCGAGAAAGCTGAGACGCTCCCTTCCTACTTGAATCCCAATCGAACTCGCGCACTTCCACCGAAACTGGGTGACTGCGCCCTACTAGATGGGGATTTGTATGCAAAATGTCACTAAAAGCGCCATTTCGTTCTTATAAAAGCACGGATGACCGCGATTGGCCCATATGTTGTAGTCTTTTGGACGCTGAGTCGACTGGTTTTGGTCCGAAAAGGCTGCGATGCAGCGTTCCTCCTTTATTCCCAATCGAACATGGTTGAACAAGCGGTCACGTGCTCCTGCGTACGCCAGTCACCTGGTCACCGTGCCTGCAGGGTACAACTTACTAGCCTGTTTGACCTTTTTTGGGTGCAGTCCTGTCACTCGAGTTGAACCTTGGTGTGGTCACGATACAACCCGGCGCCTCTGCCGTCGAACACGTCCGCTATCATGGCTAGGGCGAAGGCTCCAACAAGCTCACACACCTCAGCCCCATCATAGCACCCCATTGTCACGTCTTCAAACCATCCACAGCCATCACCTAATTAAGTAAGAGACAACCGGCTCCAGTGGTTGTCACCTTTCACCACTGCTGTCATTCACATTTTTACTTTTGGATTTGCCTCATGATGCAGTCATTCACGCTTTGCACTGCCGCCATTCACAACTTTTAGATTTGCGCCATGCTGCAGCTATTTACACTTCGCTTTGTGAGTATATATACCAATACTGATCCAGATTTCTCATTACTGTTTTCTGATGATCGCTTAGTGCGTAAAACTCGGAGTAAAAACACTTTCTCTGTCCTCCTATTGTTTGCTGCAATAAGTACATTGAAATGAAGATGTATCCCCACACGAATATGATTCCTGAGTCTACACATTCCAAATAATTTGGAACAGAACAACTTGGAACAGAACAACTTCATTTGTTCTGAGAAAGTTGTTTTCTTTTCAAGGATTCATAAACTTCAAAATCGAGGTTGTTTCACCTCCGAGGACCTTTGAGCTACCTTCTAAAAGTATTTTTAGATTTGATTACAGATATTTCTTGGCATCATTTGATTGTGGATTTCCAAAGGGTTACAAACTAGAAGTAAAATTGGCCTTTCATGGTTAGCAATGTGGTAAGCACCATCATCACCTCAATAATTGCCTATGCAGTCTATTGTACAACACACAGTGACAGAGGAGAACATCAGTTCTGTTCCTATCAGCTATATGCCAGATCAATATAACGCATCTCATCTCCATAGTATGTGAGATCAGCTACTCTTCAGTCTTGAGGGTACATTGGACGAATCTCATGATTCCTGGATTCTCCATGATTGTGCAGCCCGGTGCACTTTTTTGCAAAGAGATCCGGCGTGGAGTTCTTGGATTGCTCAAGCCTTTAAAGGAACTACATGCCAAGTCCACATAATAAATATGGATGTTTAAGGCTCTATGATAGCAGAAGTACGAGAAGACAAGGTACACAACTCGTTGGTAAACTGTGTCATTGTGTTAACGTGTCTTACTCTGAATAGCAGATGGATCACTGGCAAACAATTTCCCAGCATGCACGAACATCACCGATTCAACAGCGTTCACCAAAACCGGTGTGGGTACTCCGTGTTCCTCCACCAATGACCCGCGTGCCTTTGGCTGCTTGCAGGCAAGAGCAGCTAGCCATGCCCGGTGTGCCGTCTGCCCTGATGTGCTTGAGAACACACTGCAGTACACAGCACATTAGTAGACATTGCCATCAGACTAGAATCATTTACAGCCAGCCAGTTTTCCAAGTATGAACCCAAGCAAGTACAATTCCAACTACTGCACCCATTCCAGAGGCCTAGCCAAAGAATGCCGGCTGGGAGGGCGACCTGCCGGCTGAGACAGCTCCAAGGGTTATTTTGGCCGGCTGGCAAACAATTGAGATTTAGAGAAATTTTCAGTTTCTACAAGTACAAGTCATGATTTGTAGCATGCTGTGTTGGGGATCATTTTTCTTTCAATCATGTCACCAAGCCCACTATCCTCCGCCAAGGTAAGAGTCGACCACTGTCAGCTGTCGAAAATAGGTCCAGTTTCTGCCACTACACTGCACTAGTGCACTGTACTTGCGTAGATCCCATACAGTACAGCGTACTGCATGCACTCCACTCTTGAGGTCACACAGTCACCCACGTGAGGTCACGCATGTAGTCCTGTAGACTGAGTCTGTAGTGCACTGCACTAGCACTTGAGTCAGTAGATCTACTTAGCACTGGCTACTCAGGCTCAGTGCTAGCTCTTCACTCACGCTCAAATGCACTTGAGTACGTTGGTGCGCAGAGTGCCAGTAAAATGTGACAGGTGCTAGGTCGGGTCATGGTTTGCTGCTTCCGGTGGGTAGAGGGGACGGTTTCAAATAGGACACAGGTTGCAAACCGATGGTGCAACCGTCGATGCATTTTCACTAGAACGTTGGCCGGCTGGCATAAAATCCTGGCTAGACCTCTGCATTCAAAATGACAATCGCATCCAGATCCAGAATAGGCCCAAAAGCATTGCACGTAAGTGACAAAAGATGATCTCATATTTCCTTCAGCTCACTTTTAGCCATGATTAGAGGATAATGCTATACTAAGCTGGTAGTGCCGTACAAGGTGAGGTAATCCACAGCAAGTACCATCATGGCTGCATGCAGTCCTGAATCGGCTTACCCGCAATCACACATGCTAGCCGTGAGGATCAGTGCAGTTGCATCCAACTATCAGGGGAAAGAACAATCAAACACAGGCAGAAAATACAACAGTAAACCCATGGTGGCAGATACGAGGAATACGGACACAATGCACAACAGTTGAGTATGACAAGTCTGGGGAAGGGGACGAGGGAGGGACTATGACCAATGGAGAAATTCGTGCGGACCACTTAGTCTTTCAGTAGGTGATGGGAGGGCGATCGTCCTTTTTACACAGGCAATCTCTTACAAAGCTGGTTCACAGCACCATTGAACACATACTTGCCAACCCAGCCAAAGCAAATCCCTTAGTCACACACCCAGTTTCTCTAAATTTTCTCTCATTTCCCTTATTTTCCTGGTTTCCGGCCATTTTCTCTTTTTTGGGGCAATTTTTGACTATTTTTGCGTATTTTCCGCAATTCTTTGGCAATTTTTTCTTTCCTTTCATTAATTTCTAACCCATTGCTCATTGGGGGACCAAAATCTGAGTTTCGTTATTGTCAGATCGCCCCTACATGTGTGATTCTGTGAAATGCAGGGCCGCATGTGCCCTTGTCACACCGCAAAACAACCTTTTTTATGAACGCTCATGGTTCAGTACCAATACCGGTAGTATTTCGATCAAAGTTAAAAAGCGCCGGTAGGCCGGTAGTGACCGTAGTTTCCCGGTATAATACCGGGGAAACCGGTATGGTTGGCAAGTATGTGAACATTGTGCTCCTGCTCAACTCAAAGATGAAAACAAAGGTACATGTAGCTCTAACTGATGAAGTCAAACACTTCTGGAGGCACGCGTCTGGAATCACCCCATATCCCCATACTCTACAGGGAATGCATGGAACGGTCACTTCAAACTGCTTCGGGCAATAGCAAGTGACTATAACTACAAAACTCAGAACTCAATACCGATGCCGCAGGTGATTTTGCGGCACAAGTGGTGCCCTTCTCCAAGAAGCAAATTCTTGGTGCTGTAACAACTTGGGTACGGGCGCATCTATAGATATTGGAGCAAAGATTTTAAAACCTACTCATCACATATTTTCAATACAGTGAAACCTGGTTAGGAAGAACACTGATAAGACAAATGTTTTCCTAAGAAGAACTAGTGTTCGTAGCTGTATTGGATAAAACCCTGTGTATTCACTGGGTAAAACATATGGATAAGAAGAACTCCCGTTATTGCGAACAAATATCATCGGTCCCTTGATGTTCATCCTAAAGAGGTTTGACTGTATTTGCTTACATGCGTATACTCGAGTAGTGAACGTGGTATACTGTCAGAAGCCAGGCGAAAAAATCGACTTGCTGCACTGTAGTCCTGCAGGTGCCAGTATAGTCTGCCAATCTCATTCAAATAGAAGGACTTCATGGCACCTGAAAACACACGGTCAGCCAAAAACCAAAACAGAGACTACACAAACCGCGACACATCCACATTATTTAGACAACAACACTAAAGAAATCCACAATATCTCCATATCCAAATGCTAACACGAGATTTTCAACTCAGATGTTCGCCCTTCCAATTTTATATTCATTGGTTTGAGGGAAAGATGCAAACGGGAAAAGTCTGAAGACAAAATTGACTGTCACCACCAGGACTTGAACCAGGGACCTTTGCTTGAGGCCAGCGATGCTCTAACCACTGAGCTATAGCGTAGTTGTCATCATAGCAGCGACCGTTCAACATTTTCTTCCACCACTTCCTATTTTATCCAAGAGATTTTCACTTCACCCAACCCAAACCCTGGTGCGAAGCTATCAAAGAGCCAAATGCAATGCTCAATTTTTTTTTTTAACAAGACATGTCTATAACAGCCGAAACCTCAACACTCTTGTAAAGGCTTTTTACAATGTAAACGTAGGTCGGAAGTTCCAACTCGGAACATCGTTGCCTGGTGATCGTGACTATGTGAAACTCCGACTTGCAACAAAGCTCCCCCCCCCCCCCCTCTCCCTCTCCCTCTCCCTCCCTCTCCCTCTCCCCACTCCCTCTCCCTCTCCCTCTCCCTCTCCCTCTCTCTCTCTCTCTCTCTCTCTCTCTCTCTCTCTCTCTCTCTCTCTCTCTCTCTCTCTCTCTCTCTCTTTTTCTTGTGATCGGAACATCATCAACAGGGCAAGGATAACTAGAGAAGTTTTCCAGGCCACCAGGACCGAACCATCTGTTCCTGTCACAGCTGCAAAACCCAGTCCAGATCCGACCTGGTCCGCTTAGTCCGGTCAAGGCCACCAGACTCGATCAACTTGGTTCGGCCAGGGTGCAATACCTGATCCGGTTGGTCAGGTCAGGGCTGTTATACCCAGTCCGGTTGGTGTGGTAAGGACAGCCAGACCCAATTTGCCAGACCCGTTCTGGCCAGAGCTGCTAGAACCTACCAGACATCTTAGCCCCACCATGCAGAATTACAATAATAGAGAAGCTGCACCTTATTTTGACGCAACGCGAAAGTTCTACTCGCGTTATTTGGCTCACGCGTTGGAAAAAAACCGAGAAAGCTGCATCCGCCGAAAACGCCAAATTTGGACCCATTTGATGTGAAATTGCGTGTCACGTCAAAAATAATGTGCGCAGCTTAATAACCTCCCTAATGTTTAACCCTTTCAGGGTCACAGTGCATTTACTGCGTCTGCGCACTGTGATTCAGTGCATCAGCACAATTGTGGAGATAGCAACAAACAAATTGTCACAACATTATTGTTTCTCAACGGATTTTCACAATTTGTGGCTTACTGGAAAGCTTTTCCTGCTCGTCATCATTCACGTGCTTTCAGAGCATATAGCACCCCAAGGACGCCCCTAGCCTCGCCAACAGTGTTCCTATCGTGCTCCAGTTTGGCATCAAGACTACGCACAACAATTTCCTTCGGTTCGGGGCTCATACTCAACATAGAACTAGGATTCAAACTGCACCGAACGCCTGAGATTCAAGCGATTCAAACGATGTACTGATTCGTCAAGTTGCCTTCGACACGTCATCGGGAAATCTCCTTGAATGCCTTGAAAAAAATGTTCAGATCGAAATCGCACGTTCAATTTATCGCCACTCGATCATTTGTTGAGCTATTGCTGCACCGAAAACACCTCTGGTAAGCCCTTTCCAAGACCTTTCCAATGAGCTATTGATCATGGCAATGCGATATTCTGTTCCAGAGTTATGGCTGTTTGTACAGTGACCTATCCAGTGCATACGGTATGTGCACTGTACAAAAAGTATAGAGCGAGTATACTCGTCTTTGCCCAGACGCGATGGGGTCTGCATGACGACAAGAGTACATAACCCCCCAGAGTGTGCAACTCCCACATACCCTGCTGTCCCGACAGAATTTCAAGTTGACGTCATTATTTATGACGCAATGCTCCTTGCACCAGTGATTTACAACATGTGTACGGGTGTCAACGCATCACACGTTTTTCTTTGCAATAATTTGTACAGGATCGAGCGGCTTTGGTCAACCACAGGTTCCGGATTCGTCTGATAATCCGTGTACAGTGCGCATTGCATCATCAAAATGACATCAACTTGAAATTCTGTCGGGACAGCACCCATAGTGGAGTTGCACACTCTGGGGGGTTATGTACTCTTGATGACGAGTATACTCGTCATAAACCCGGAAAGGGTTAAGTAAAACCTGGAACACCATGACAATGAGGCGGCACTGACAGCAACACCACAACTAACCTTCAATGGCCTGCTTGGAAAGGTACAGGAACTGACCGACAGCAGCATCAACATATCCCCTGCTCCACCAAACATACGCCAGGGCAACTTCAAAGGTTATCCGCATCATCTTTGGATATCTGAGTGCAACATGCAGCAATATACAGGAACAACACATGATATAAAAGCATCTACTAGTATCCAACAGTGAAGATCTACATGTATAAAAACAAATTGTACGCTTACAAGATATCTGTCACAGAAGGACAGAGAGAAAGAGAGAAAGAGAAAGAGAAAGAGAGAGTGTGTGTGTGTGTGTGCGTGTGTGTGTGTCTCTCCCCCTCCCTCTCCCTCCCCTCCCCCTTTTTTCAGGACTCCAATGCCCATGCAGAACTTGTTTCCAGGAAAGACAGGGTTTCAGCTAGGGGTGAAATGAGTATATCGAATACTCAAGCACTCGCTCGAAAATTTGAAAAGAGCGAGTACTCGTTTCGCAAAAAAATACTCGAAGCACACTTTGTACTATTGTATGCATGTACATCAAGTACTAACATTACTCTGACCAGTACTTACAGCCCAGGCAAGTGTGCCTACTGCGGCCTAAAACCTCCGGATCTGTATCTTGTAAACGTCCAGTGCTTTTTGATAGTTGTGAGAAGTTCTTCCACGAGCCAGTGTTGCCGTTGAAGAATGCGTTCTCTCCGGTAGCCTTCATCCATTCCAAAATTTATCGTGAAACGGATGCAGACTTTCGATATTATTCACGTTTAAGTTGTGGCTTGTCCCTACTTACCAGCAACAGATATGTCGGACTATCCTGCACTAGGCTGCAGGCAACACTTCATGTATCGAGTGTACTACGTTCGGTGTTGCACGAACGTGTGCAGTGCATTGTTTATGTTGTAAAATACTCGTACTCGCTCAAATATTCGCTCGTTTTTTCAACGAGTACTCGAGTCCTCGGTTTTGGCACTCGTTTCACCCCTAGAACTTTCAGCAATGTGCACGTGTAGTTCCTAATCAGCTTTACCTTTCAAACAGTGCACGTCGTACTTGATAGACAACGTTGGAATGCTTGCCGCCAATGCTGGAGAGTAACCCAGTATCACTAGAAGGTGGCAGGCACAAGTCAATCAGCTTTGCCAGTCCGCTAACGACAAACGGTTGTTCACCTTGGCGCAGCAGTAATGTGCCTGGATAACATCAAAGCCAAACATGATGAGTAGCAACATCGAGGGTGCTTGCTGGTTGCGCCTGTTAGAATAATTTGAAATCTTTTTTATTTTAAAAAAACTTCATTCACATAAATTAAAAAAAGTCCTAGCATTGAATCTATACTGGCATTACGCAGAGTTTGGAGCACTCTGGCAAGGTCCGTTCGGGCCTGGTTTAAATCTGGCTTTAGAAATTATATTTTCATTGCTATCTGGTTCGGCCTCATTTTCTCTGTGCTGCGCTGATGAGTCCATAAAGGACTAAACAGTTCTGTCTGCAGATTGAGTATTACGCTCCTGCTCTGGGTGGCTGCGCCCTACTAGATAGGGATTTGTACGCACACTGTACGCAAAATGTCACTAAAAGCGCCATTTCGTTCTTATAAAAGCACGGATGGCCGCGATTGGCCCATACGAAGTGGCGAGTTTGATTGGGAATAAAGGAGGAATGGAGGGTCTCAGCTTCCTCGCACCAAGACCATTCGACTCAGCACCCCGAAAACTACAAATGGTGAAAATTTGATTGCATATCGGAGCTTCGAGCTTCGATATAACAGTGTATACCAACCCGAAATCGGGTTTTCCTTTGCTCGAGATAGCATTTTCAAAACGCAGTTTTACTAAAATTCAAAAATCAAATTTTGATAAAAGAAAACTGCCCCACACGTGATCCATCAGCTCAAACGCGGGAACTCTAGCTTCTTCTTCACCTTTTTTCTTTGCTCGAGGAAGTGTGCAGTTGGAGTTTTCTGTTGTCTGAGTTTTCGGTATGGATTCCCGACCTCAGAATGTTGTTTCGCTAGTCCAGCAGGCTCTTGACCATGCTCTACGCCCAGTCGCACACTGGAGAGGTGTTTGGCATCCCTGGAAGACCACAACACGCCGATGCCCGTGGGAAATTTGGAGTCCAACTCCAGGCAAGAGCCGCTGATGACTCGCGGATTGTGGATAGTGCATGTACACTGGAAACTGATCCACTCCCGATCCCGGTTGCTTCCCAATCGGCTGACTCCTCTTTGGCGAGGTTTACTGCATGCAGTAGTCAGCCCGCTCAGGCTTTTAAAGCCGGTCTTGAGCATACGCGTGGTGGGTCCGTTGACGGCGACCTGATAAATAATCCCACGCTGCAGCCACTTGCTGCTCGGTCGACCTCGAGAGAGCCACCTAGATTACGAACTCTCCCCTCAGACGCGAGTGGAGGTCCAAGAGGTCTGGCGCAATTAAGCCACCTGCCGCTTGGTACGGCGCTATCTGGTGTGGCGGCTGAGGATTTGGACTCTCAGTCTGGTAGCACACATAATCTGGTGTCTGACTGTGCAGGTCCCAACACTGACTGGCCAGCGGATGACGGGGATGAGGAGGAGAAAGGGTTCACCCTCATGTCTCGTCCGAAACTGTTAAGTTTCTCGAGTCATGTCTTAGATCAGAACTCCGACGCAAATCCAGGCAGACCATTTCCCACCGCTACCCTCGCCCGGACGCTGCAGCAGCATTAGTCCCGGCTTTGGATGCGCAAGTCGCTCGCATGGTATATTGTGCTGACAGGTAGCCGCCTCGTTCGGAGGCTCGGCCGGATAGGGCTCAGTACCTGACACAGGCGAAGTTGTTGAACGTGGTGGGTCCGTTGTGTGACATTCTTGAGCACACCCAAAACCCTGACCTCGGTGAGCAAGGTCAGCAGATCCGGGAGGCTGCTACGGCGGAACTGCGTCTCCTGGGAGATGCTAACCAGGCACTCACCATAAAACGACGTTCCATCTATTTATCTAAGATCCACCCCAAGCTCTGTAGCCTAGCCATCGCAGATTTTGCTAACCCTGGAGGTTCGTTATTTGGCCCTGCCCTGAACGAGCAGATAACGAAGCAGGCGGAACCGGACAAGGCTTGGGCTGACGTACTGCGTAAGCTGCCGCCAAGTCATGCCCATGTGGCAGGAAAAGACAGATGGTCGTCACGATTTGGACAGGACCAGGGGGACAGCGACAGCAAACACCACAAGCCTTCGGAGGCTTCCCGTGAGCCGTTTTTTCGAGGGAGCGGAGCCCGCAGGGACGAGTAGACCTCCGCAAGCCATGCCCCTCACCGTCCACATTGCTCCGGTTCCTGGCTGAACTCCAGGCAAAACCCTTGCACATATTGCATGACTTCTGGTCCTCTGGTCAGCTGACGCCAGCGTCTGGTCTGACCACAAATTCGGCAGCTCGGATGTCTCCAGACCTTCAAGTCGGTTCGAAGGGCATTCAACCCGAGCCGCTGCATCGTCGACGGCTGGAGCTGCTGGCCTGTCAGCTGATGAGGTCATGCGCCCTGTTGGCTGGAAACAAGAGTCTACGTTCCGGCGCTTTTATCTCAGAGATCCCATGCCTACTGCTGTGCCAGCATCTACACTGCCCTGAATTTCAATTCAGGGAAAAACAATGCTGACAGTGTGCTTGTTCACCTATGTCATGATGGTGTGAATGTATGCAAACACATACCGTGACCATGCTGTACTAATCCGTTAGTTTACCTGCGTGGGGTACGCATTACTGTGCAAGTAATTTACGGGACAGCCAGTGTTAGCGTCTCGCCAAACTGGATTATGATTATGTTCCAGATGTTGGTTTTCGTGTGGCCACACAGTTAGTTGGTGTTAGGCCCCTGTGTTATATTCCAGCCAGGGTGTTCTGGTTTGCTGCGTCATAATTATATCACTGACGCTCATAGTACCCATTTGTGCATAAGATAACTGTTGCCACGGAGGCCGGTCGATGTGCGCTGTGAAGTATACACTGTTATATCGAAGCTCAAAGCTCCGATATGCAATTGCCCATTTCACAAGCAATGATGCATTGTGATGTGTCACTTGTGAAGTGGGGATTGTATGAGGAGCGGAGAGCGGAGATATAACAGTCCCACCCTGGTACCCTCCCAGTAAGCAGGGCCTGCTGGAGACCCGGGTCAGCCGGGTCACGCGCCCGGCTGGGGAACTGCACGACCTGGCTGAACAGATAACACCGGGTCCAGTCAGACCCGGCTGAAAAATGTCTCAAACTGACAATGGATTTCTAAAATACCGGTATTTTACGGCTCGCGGACCCCATCCGTTGCAAATCTAGCGCAACCGTACACACTATAATACATGACTAATCATCATAATAATGACTATGTACACAACAGTCTACAAGCGACAGAAACTCGGCTAGGGTCAACTGGGGTCAACTGGTTCGAGCGCGATCTGGCCAGCGGCGAGCAGGAAGTCAGGTCATTCAAAGTCGACGGGGCAGGCAGTCAAAAGCGTAACCAAGGGTAACTTTGGCTATAGCGTTTGACACAGTTGCAAGTTTTCAGCCGACTGCCTGGTGATTTGGACGATGGAGCCCGCAGCGAAGAGAAAAAGAACTCACGCTTTCCAAGAATCTTGGACGAAAGGGCGACCCTGGCTGGACTACGACCGGACCATGCCAGTCTATCCATGTCATGCGCTTTGTGCAAGACGCATTTCCAGTCGGCTTGGCATGCAGGTGATGCATTGGCAGGAAGCAGCCACTCCACAAGGTGCTGCAGGCCCCCCCCCTCAGTGCTCTATTATGTGAACATGTTCGTCCTGCTATTAGCACTAATTAGAAAACAGAATCCAATGGAACTGCTTTGCATTCTTCACGTAATGATGTCGTTTACCTTCTACGTTTGCGGACTTTGATAGTTCGCCTTGTTCTCTAAAATTTCCGATTTCCGGTAATAAATTCGCCTTTCTGTTTTCCTGCGTTTTGAGCAGGCTTTTTGGTTGTTTTTCTGTCTGATGATCTGACCCAGCTTGACCCGGCTGGCCTGCATGCACCAGGTACACTCTGACCGGGCTGTGTTGAATGTCTAGAGCAGGCCCTGGTAAGATCTATAATGCGCTGAAAAAAGGGTGAAGAAGAAGCTACAGTTCCCGCGTTTGAGCTGATGGATCACGTGTGGGGCAGTTTTCTTTTATCAAAGTTTGAAAAAACTGCGTTTTGAAAATGCTATCTCGAGCAAAGGAAAACCCGATTTCGGGTTGGTATACACTGTTATATCGAAGCTCTCCGCTCCTCATACAATCCCCACTTCACATCACAATGCATCATTGCTTGTGAAATGGGCAATTTTAGGGTATACTTCCCCATTAATTAGAACATACTGCTTAATTAGAAGTTTCTTCCGGGAACGATTTCTATAGCAAAGCATAATTAGAAGTTCACTTTATTCCTGTAGCTATGCAGAAGACGTTACTTCAGTAACGTCTGGCGCTAGCCAGGGTCCACACAGCTTTAATTTGGTATTTGTTTGTGTGTTTGTGTGTTTGTGTCACGCCTGGCGCTATCCCGTATCTGTCCCGTACCGTACCTTCCATCAAACACAGCTGGCCACATACAGCTGGCCGCAATATTCAAATAGGGCTTTCAAACACAAGATCATAACGTGAAGCAACTTGGAAGAATGAGTATGAATGCGAAGTATATGGGGGAATGCATGTAGGGCGATAGTGCGGGTTCGAATCCCAGGTTTATGCCTAAAAAAATAGGAGAATTGAAATATTTATAACATCCCTATGCTTTTTTTGCCTAGGTCATCAAGGCGGTAGACGGTGTCGTATTACCCTCGACCGTACCTGTCCCGTATCGTACCATCAAAGACGGCTGGCCACAATGCATATTCAAATAGGGCTTTCAAATGCAAGATCATAACGTGAAGCAACTTGGAAGAATTAGTATGTATGCGAAGTGTATTGGGGGATGCATGTAGGGCGATAGTGCGGGTTCGAATCCCAGGTTATGTCTTTAAAAAAAGGAGAAATTAATATGAATTTATAACATCCCTATGCTTTTTTGTCTAGGTCATCAAGGCAAAAAAAGCATAGCGTAGGGCCCTGAGCTTCCAAGCTCTCTCGTTTTCTGCAAATCAGTTTGGTTTGCATGTACAGGCAGTTCAGTGTCACTAAATCTGTGTCTACATAACGTGTTGTGGGTACATGTTCGGATAATAATTAGAATGTCCGGATAATAAGACGTTTTCCCAGGCACTTTGGGGTTCGAATTTTCAGGATTCCACCTGTACACTCCTCCAATCCGGACGCCCCTGATCTGGGCACTTTTCTGACCCATCTAGAGTCACACAAATTGGCTTTTCAACGAAAAACGGCCCCAAAACCTATTGATTGGCATGAAAAAATGTTTACTTGCATGCAGTACGACCTTCTGAATTACGGCCAATTCCTAGTTACGGGCAGTGCTCAGTCCTAACCGTCCCCGAATTAGGTGAGTGTTACTGTACTGCTTGTGTACATGAATACATGTAAACACATTCTGAAACTTCCTTATCACATACACTCATACCTCGCTTATCCGGGCGGTCCGGGACCGGGCACTGCCCGAAACTCCGAATTACATACCGTATTTCCTCGATTAATGGACCATGCTCGAATAATAGACCATGCTCAAATAGTAGACCCTCCTGGAGGCCTCACGGACAAATAGTAGACCATGCCCGAATAAGAGACCCGGTCTCTTATTTGAGTTCATCGCTTTGCGCCGCAGGCGCACTAAGAAAGCACGTGGTGGATCAAAAAAGGACGCGATTTTAGGTTGCGCAACTACAATTTTGTAGTGGCTAGTGCTTTCTTTCATTATTTGAGCACGGTCCACTATATTTTCATCGGCACATCGCTGGAAATGGTGGATTTTTAACACGTCATAATATAGAAATAATGGACCATGCCCAAATAAGAGACCAGGGGTCCAACCCTCTTCAAAAAAAAAAGACCGGGTCTATTAATCGAGGAAATGCGGTAGATCTTTATGGGGAAAGGCCATAGATAAGGCATACGGTGTCAATATTTCCACTGAAACTCGCCCGGAGGGTGCGCGGTAGACCGAAGTGCCCATAACTTCTAGGTCCGGGTAACCAATGTATGAGTGTATTGCTGAAAGGGTAGGAGAAGACAGTGTTCTGTTTGCTTGATAGCGGAGAGGAATTTAACAAGATGTTCAGCACTTTCTCACAAAGTTAATACGCCCAGTCATATTGATATCAAAGTACCTAGAATGAGTGAAAGTATAGTCCTGTGATTTTAGTGCACCGCACGCAGGACTCAAGGCAGATTCTGAATTTCCGGTCTTTGCTAATAGTAATCATGAGAATGAAGTTGAAGACTCCACTGCAGCTGTAGTTATGGTTGATTTATATGGTGGCAAATACACACCTGGCAATATGGCGGTAAAGACACGCATGTCCACATACCGCCATATTGCCAGGTGTGTATTTACCACCATATGAATCAACCATTATAGTAATCATGATGCAGTATTATGTAAGTTCTTACCTCCTGCATAGTTTAACTCATGGTAAGTGGACCAGTTCATTTGTTCATGAGGAATAATGGTTGGAAAGTCTTCAGCCCAGTGAGTACGCCTCGAGACGAAATTGAAGAAAAACCAGCCTGGGTCGTATTGATACTTGCTTGCCAGAAATTGGGATCTACGTCCCACATTCTTTTCCCTAGGCAAAAGAGAGCAGTTAACAGGTTTCTGTAGATTAGTTTCATTATTTTGAGTGCTAGCAAGAGTACATAACCCCCCAGAGTGTGCAACGCCGATCCAGCTCTGCATAGGGTCTTGGTCGAGCGGAATCGGATCTTCTGATGTCATGCGTACACCCCACACCAGCGCAAGGCCGGTCTCGAGGCAGGGCACCATTGTTTTTGATCCGAGAGTACCCGCGACTCCCCAGGTTCCCCTCAGATGTGTACGGTATTATGACGCAAAGATCCGATTTCGCTCGACCAAGACCCTATGCAGAGCTGGATCAGGCGTTGCACACTCTGGGGGTTATGTACTCTTGGTAAAAGGCTTGACTATTACTTCTTGAACTACATAGCAGTAATACAGGCTAACCGGTACAAAGGTCAAACTAGGTTGGCTGGTTTTAAAGTCTCAGCAGCACATAAATTCAGATATGAATATAGTCCCAGCACAATTATAGAAACTGTGCTTATTCAAATGCCTAGAATATCCAAACAAACACACACACACACACACACACACACACACACACACACACACACACACACATACACACACATACACACACACACACACACACACACACACACACACATCGCCATGCCTTGTACACCATACTGTACAGTTTATATATTCTACATGCAGTCTTGTGTGGGCTTGGCTTGCTTCACTGAGTGTCTAGCTAGCTGTGTGGATATTAGTTAGATGTAACTTAGAATGATTTGGATTATCAGACTAACGTACATGTATATTCACAGGCCACTGACCCCCAGCCACCTCACCATCTCTTTGGCGAGAATGTTGGGAAGACATTGTGAGCAGGTTGGCTGGCTGTAATTGTGATTACTCCACAAAGGGTCACTATGGACTTGTACTGTGGCATCGCAATGTACATAATCTTACCAATCCGCAGGTATATTGATGGGCCGCACAGTGCCATCCTCAAGGTCGGGCAAGAACAGAAAGTCACTAAACAGTTGAAAAACACCATCTGAATACTTGAGACATTCCAAGTTCCTAAAAGCACTCATGAGCCAATGAACCGTGAGCTGCTCAAAACGCTGGGAGGAGCGCAGATGTGATGCTTGTTGCCGCAACTGATAGGGCAGCTCCTTAGGTAGTGAAACTACATGCAGCAAGAAAACAATATAACGGGCATATAAAATTAAAATAATCATAAAGAAGAGTGGGATTCGGCAATTTATCAATCAAATACATTTGTTACTTTATACCGACGTTCTAAGGTTAAAATAGCGAACTTACTGGCATGGTCCTCAATCTCTGGACAACTGGCTCTTTTGACCTTCCTAGGCCTCGACAGCGGACCTCAAAGCAACTGGCCTGCAGTCCACTGCTCGGCATTTTATCTGTTCAAGAATGTTTCTTTTTGTAAATTTTAGAACGGTTTATTTTGACAATGATCTTTAAATTGGTCTGAATGTGCCTATTAGGTTAATTTCCTATTTTTCCAGAATTGTGCACTGCTACAAAGCTAGGATTTCAGCCAGGTTTTGCGAATCAACAAGGTTTACATCTATACATGTACAGAGGTGCTGGTCCAAAACCCATTTAGCCGAACTACGACCAGGTTTAAAAAAAACCTACACACACCATCCTCAAATCAAGTGGTCTCTTCGTTGCATTTCTGAAGCTGGCTCCTGGCCGAAAATTCGATTGAGATATTAGAAATGAAGAAGAGACCACTTGATTTGAGGATGGAGTGTGTAGGGTTTTTCATGTAATAAAGTGGCTGCAGTTGAGCTTGCGTACCTTAAGAAATACAACCAGGTGTGTGAGCCTTATTAAAAAAAGTTATTAGACCAGGTTTGAAAATAAGGCTTATAACCAAAACAGGCCGCTCTATGAGGCAGGCTTTTATACAATGCAGTATATGTGCTTTGTTTGATTTCTTAGTTTCCGGTTCCCTTGAGACAATGTCTTACCCTTTCTTTTAGATTTCGATGTCAGCTTAGATGTAGCTCTCCTTGACCAGACAACACGGAGACAGCACTCCACTAAGGATGGCACCTTGGTAATGAGAAAATGCATACAATTTGGATTCACCATCTACCAATAAAATGCCAAATTCGAGTGCACACACATGGAAATTTGGCTTTAAACAGATCAACTGCTTTCATCAGTACCATCTGATTCTCCCTGCATTCCAGCCGGCAAGTACTAGTAGTAGTTGGAACGCAAGGACTTCATCCGCAGAATTCAGCTTGGCCTCCCTGTGCGGCTTCTGGCTCTACTGCCCATATGGCACATATCGTTGTGGGCTTTCTATCCCCTTTCTCTCGCACTTACTCTGGCGTTTTCATCCAAAGGCGTTGCACTGCACTAAAGGCATGTCTTACATCACACACAACAGATGCAAACTACAGGCACGCAATGCATGATGAGCTCACCTGCGAAACAGGCATACCAGGAGAAGCATCCATGGCAACAACCTTAGCGTCTTCCACCGTATCCACTGCACATCGGTATGAAGAGCGACCGGATGGTGTCATAGCAGCCAAGTGATCATCTTCAAACAAAGGCATGCTTTCTAGCACATCTCTCATCTGCATACGCCGCTTGTCACGATTGCGTTTCTTCTGGCGACGAGAACGATGGCGTCGTGTTGTGGCACCTGCAGACGTATCTACACACGCACATTGCCAAGCAAAAACAATAGGAAAATTAATAATATTCACGGTTCGCCTGAGACTCTGCTAGAGACGGAGTTTTCCGCATCCGTAGGAACGCCACCACCGTCAAGTATCAAGTCACAGATGCAGCCCCTAAAGCGGTGGGAGGTGAGTGGATCAGACCCAAAACCAAGTGGTCAAAGACCGAAAATCCCACTCGCTGCATGCGTGGGAATAGGAAAGAAGTCACCTTAATTATACCGTGCATTTCCAAGCAACAGAAGAAAGCCAAAAGATGAAAATTCCAAACCCTGAAATTGAGTTCCCAAAGCAATGCGTCATTTCTCGATCTGTTCACCCTGTACGTACAAACTAATTTACTTCATTCAAGTCATGAAAATGACTAAACAGTGCTTTCTCTGCATGTCTGTAGAGGATTGTTATAGGCATTGCAGATACTTCAAGGAGTAATCAATGTGACTGCTATGCATCCTGAACAATGAAATCCACTGGCATTCACCAGACTATCCACAAAATCAGGAATATTTAGCTTACCACCAGTCGATGGAGCTATTTCACTGGTCACAGAGGCCAAGTCATCCGAGTCCACCACGCTGTCACCATCCACCTCATCACTGCTCAATGCTTCTTCTTCAGCCGTGAAATAATCATCAGAGGAACAACTATCCTCCTCGTCCTCTGTTGCCAGCTCCTCTTCGTCCTTGTCTTCCTCTTCTTGATCAATGCCATGATCCTACACATAAGATATGGAACACAAAATAAATGTTATTAAGGCAGACAATGGCAATGCTTACTCTACTTATGTAGGGGTAGAACATATAACACTGCCAGCGGAGTTGTTACAACTAGAACATTGGGCAGAATGGCGACACTCGTTGGTTCCATCAAACCATGCAATGTCTCTTCAGCTGAATGAGCCTCGTATTAATCTCGTCTTCAGCATTATCGCGAATAGAATGTACATGGTGACTTGAAGGTCACGATGCTAATGGTGGTCCAGCTTTAGATTTCCTGTTGGATGTCTCCTGACAAGCCGGACAGCAAGTGGTACCAAAAGCTGAACGGTATACTTGAAGTACTCAAAGATCATCTCGCACCCAAGCCGCTGGTCATTCATGAGAGGTACCGTTTTACCAGCGTGATCAACGGCAAGGAGAATCGATTGTGAGTTTAGTGGCTGAACTCAGGAGTTTGGCTCGGATCTGTGAGTTCAATACACATCTGCTGGAGGCTTTGCGGGACCGATTTGTCTGTGGGCTACATCGTGCTGTGGTTCGTAGAACATAACCAGCCAGATGCCCGCATGCTTGAACATGTGACTTGCACATAATTATCATTATTGCTGCTATTACTCGATGGACAGCCAAGCAGATTGCATCGCCTCGTGAAATCTGCAGGGAAGGTTTGTGGCATTTCCCTTCAGCACAGTCATCATGTTACACGTTTGGCTTGTGTTCATTTCGTGGTTGTACACAGCTAAAGTAATTTCTACTATTTACTGTGTGCTGTCATTTAAAAAGGAAGGACTGTGGTGTATGCACACCACGGACCCAGTAATGTGTACAGTTGAACATCGATTATCCGCACATCGACTATCCGACCATTCGATTATCCGTAACAGTTTTTTTGGGCGCACATGCCGTAGAGTACGCACTGTGCATGTAGTGAGCCATTCAAAAAATACAAAAATTTTGAAAAGTAAAAAGTAAAAGGTCGTGCGGCTAGTAATAACCACTGAAAGTGTGTGAGTGACAGTTTTTTCTTATCCAGAACATTTGCCTTATCTGAAACACCGCCTGACAGTTGTCTGCCCAGAGGTGGTCGGATAATCGATGTTCAACTGTACCTGTACTGCGAAGCATGCACACTGGTTACACAGAGGCCAAGCCTGGCATGCTGCACAGTCGTAGTGTACATCCACGCTCTGCAATTATTCGATTCGTGATCTTTGGTATTCTTTGATTCCATGCTTTTGTTGCAAGCTAGCTCGACATCAGGTAAACCCAAGCCCGGTAGTGGAGAGACATAACTATCATATATCAGCATAATTATTCTTTTACTGTAACTGCATTTCAGCATCTGCAATTGTACATGCACCTATTTTTCGGCATTTCTCGGAAGACAAAATATTTTTATACCACCACTGACAAAATTTGTAATTAGGCCATGTACGGTATAGTGCGGGACCACATGCACTTTGCCTACACCCAGAAAGCTGACGGACATTTCTATGTATGTACATGCATAAGCCCCTTGAGATAATAAAGAGTGAGAAAAGGCACAAGGTTTAAAGTCAATTGTTTCAAGAAAGTGAACCTGGCCATATTGACTCGGATGGAGAGCCAAGGGTTAATTTATAAGAAAGAAAAAGGACCAATGTTATCGCATGAGCTGATTGTTAAGTAACTGGTGGTGTTAGTGGACATTATAGCGTAGCTTGTAGTTCCTTGGTCATATTGAGCCTGGAAATAATTACCTTAGTGGGATTAGAGTCAGATGAAGAAATCAGCAGTTTTCTCTGATTCTTAGGACGCTTCTTCTTGCGTTTGCTTTCCCAGACATCTTCACCTTTGGAGAGCTCACTGGAAATCATACGGCGAAATAACTGCGATGGATGTACATCATCTCCATCCTCCACACCATCCTTATGGTCACCGCCGGGCTCTTTGCAACTAGCTGAGGCCATCACACCTGCATTGAACAACAACAGAATTAAAACGAGTGAGCCTGGCGCTAACAGTTAGAACACTACAAACACTCGACTAGTACATATACAAGTTTAAAAAAAGATGTGTATCTCCAGGCACATCTCAAGTGTACGTTATCGCTGACCAAGTCCACATGCAGTGTGCCTCAACAGCCGTGCTGTGCCTGCATATGATCTACTGCAGTCAAACCTCATTTGGACGAACACGGATAAGGCGAACTTTCCATTAGTACGAACTAGGGCCAATCCTATGGTTGGCCAGGCATCAATTCAAGTCAAAATTATTCGTTTACGACGAACTTCTGTACAGCGAACTTTCGCGAAGACGAACTATTTTCTAGTGTGATTGGAACAAAATCAGTGTGGTCATGCACATGTAGTACGAACTTTCGCTCCACGAGCGTGCGCGTGGGCTGGCTGTCTTTTTTTCTTCTTTTTTTCAATGGTCGAGGCCATAATTGTACGTACAGTGCAAATTATTTTCAAGCGTGTTTTGAACAAAATCAGCGTGTTGTACGAACTTTCGGCACAGTCGTGATTCATTGCACATTGTCATTGTACTTACCTGTTTCTGGCTTATGCTAAGAATAAAATGCTTCCCATGTACCACAGCATGCACCTTCACGTAAATACAATCCATATGATATGCATATCGCTTTTTTTGTCATATCTGGATAAGAAGAACTCCCGATAAGACAAACAAATTTGTTCAGTCCCTTCAAGTTCATCCTAACGAGGCTTGACTGTAAGTAGGAAAGACAGACTCGACTCGGTCGAGGTACGTCCACGACACGGAGAAGTTGAAACCAACTTTTACACATGCAACCACCACCAAAGTTCTAGCAATGTCTAAGGCCACACCAAAGAACACACTTACTTCCTGTAGGCGACCAGCCCAGTTTTGCGACCATTGTACCTTTTTTTTTAGTTTGGTCACAGTCATCAAGACAATTTATTGATACAAACAACAAACTTGCAAAAATTTAAATAAACACTTCTGTCGCAGCCTAGTTTTGATTCTACAACCCCTGGATTGCATTTACACACAAAATAGCCATCGTGACATGGGCTTCCTGAGAGTTTGTTCTTACAGCACCTGGAACGTTTTCTTATTGGAAGAATTTGGCTGCTCTCCAATGAGGAGTTCACCCTTCGTACCGAAATTACGGACACTTAACATATGTTTCCCCTGATTATGTCACACTCCATTTTCAGGTCTCTGCCACATCGCCACATTGTTTCCATAATATAATTATATAATTCACTTGAGTAGCAAGTTATGCTCGATTGTAAGTCGCACCCAAGGGTCTTGAAGTGTGATATAAATAGGTTCTTATTCAGGAAATACGGTAAATGATGCACGACTGCCGCCCCGGAGGTCACGAAGAGCACATCAAACCATCCATTCAGCAAGCCTCCAAGCCAGCACCACTACCTGGTCAATACACAGTGTTTCAGGGATTTCATCACTCCCTCATCAGTTGAGCTCGACGGGGCTAATAACATAGCGTGATCCAAGAGCACAACATTATATAGCGTTCCTGCAGGCAAAACATCACTGCGGATACAGGCTTACTGCGATGCTCCGTTTCCAGTGCGACAAAACCATGTGGGGTTCTAGATTGCAGCATGAGTCAGTGCCGCCCATGGAATTGTGAGAAACAGACGTTGACTGCCATTAGGTATTCACAACATTGTCACCTCCAACAGCTAATCACATGCCCGGCATGTGCGTGAGGGATACCAATACAAACTTAGCACTAGCAACCAACTTTGCAGTAGTGATGATTGAAAACATTGGCTGCTCCTAATGTAGAGCTCACCCTTCCTGCAGAAATGACTAACACTTGCCTGACTCACAACTGCCATATTTAGCACACGCCAGCATGCGACTACATGTCAGAGGTGACAGACAGTGTTGTGAATAACTAACAGCATCAGTGTCTATTTCTCGCGGCTCCATGGGAGACACTAACGTTATCTCTCGGCGCTTGCTACCTGGGGCCTCATAAGGTGTTTGTCACGCTGGAAACAGAGTGTCACAGTACGTTTCAAGTTATTATCCCTCATAGTGTTCCAGTTCGGATGCTGCAGCTCTATAAGATGCAGTGTACCTGCAGCACAATTTTTTCAGACTACCCAAGCTCAACTAATGAGGGTTAGATTCTCTCGCACATTGTGCATTGAGCAGGGAGGAAGGTTTACTGAGTGAAAGGTTTGATATGCTTGTCGTGTGCTCCGAGCCCCCGGATGACAGTACGAGTCAGCCAAGTGCTGGTAATTTCAGCAGGAAGCGTGAGCTCCAGGTTGGGAGCAGACATTAAGTTTATCCTGGCGCAAGTTCCGTGTCGACTTTACAACATAATCCTCAACAGGTTTGATCGGAGCACACAGCAGTACCGCGCAATCACAGCCACTTCACGCTGCAGTCCGCTGATGAAACCGTAACGGCTGAAAGGTCTACATGAAGTCAGCAAGAGCTTAGTGCGCCTCACCATCTTGAATTCAGCTAGCGCCCCTAGCGGTGTACTGCTGGTGCATGCATAGTACATTTCCCGCATTCTGGTGCATTAATTATCATTGCAAAGTTGAATGGTATTGACTGCATTGTTCTGCGCATAACTTGCCGGCGCAAACGTGGGAGGAGGAAACACTTTGGCTAGGGATTAGCGTGACAAATTAAATCCAGTCCCTGGTTATCTGCGGCTCAGTACGAGCGGGGCTGGCCGTTCATTTGCCACACCTTGTCCCCGCGTGTTTGTTTTTTCGTTGAATTTTGTTTATTTTTAAGGAATCCCCCAGCCTGATGTGTGTCTTGATACACCGCGTGTATCAAGACACACATCATTCGCCTTGCCGCCCTAGTGAGAAAGAGCTTAGACTATGATGGCTCAGGCTAGTAATAATACCCTGAGTGTACAGGTGCAGTAGAACCTGATGCATACATGTATGTAGGGCCGTCTAGCTTACATACCTCCAAACAGTCGTCATTCAGTAAACAGGCAGTTGCAGCCACAGTTGAAGTTACTAGCCACTATTTTTGAAAGTCTCTCTCAATCGCGCACCAACCAGCCAAGAGTCCGGTGTCTCGCCGGGACGTCACATGCACAGTGGTCGAAATGCACTTCACGATAGTTCAATAACATCTAGATTGACTTACTCCTACTGGGAAACACATTCACTAAAACTGTTCGGTGTGGGTAGTTCTACTACGAAGTTTGAACTGTTTCACAAGCTCATTTCTGTACTCGTAGATCTGTACTGCCACTGGTAGATCTACTGATGATCCGGATCGATGGATGTGCAAACCAGCTTCGATTTCCATTTGACCATGCAATACCGAAAAAGTAAATTAAAAAATCCTCTTTTATTTTTGCGCACTAGACTACTAGAGATCAGGGAGCCCTACACATATGTGTAGGTATGTGTAGGGCATGAACATTCTGTCGTTATTCGCGAATTGTCGTTATATCCGCAATCGTTATTAGCGAAGTTGACTGTACAGTCAACTTCGCTAATAACGACTGCGGATATAACGACAATTCGCGAATAACGACAGAATTTCTATGCCCAGAGCAAAGTCCCATGTACATTTAAAGGGGAAGTTAAGGCAAAAATTAAAATTTCACCAGTTGTAGTCTTCGGGGTGCTGAGTCGAATGGTCGTGGTCCGAGGAAGCTGAGACGCTCCCTTCCTACTTGAATCCCAATCGAACTCGCGTACTTCCACCGAAACTGGGTGACTGCGCCCTACTAGATGGGGATTTGTATGCAAAATGTCACTAAAAGCGCCATTTCGTTCTTATAAAAGCATGGATGACCGCGATTGGCCCATATGTTGTAGTCTTTTGGACGCTGAGTCGATTGGTTTTGGTCCGAAAAGGCTGCGATGCAGCGTTCCTCCTTTATTCCCAATCGAACATGGTTGAAGAAGCGGTCACGTGCTCCTGCGTACACCAGTCACCTGGTCACCGTGCCTTACTTACTAGCCTGTTTTGACCTTTTTTGGGTGCAGTCCTGTCACTCGAGTTGAACTCGAGTTGAACCTTGGTGTGAAAGTTGTCGCCTGCTGGCGTGGTGACCAGGTGATTTGGGCACCCAGGAGCACGTGACCGCTTGTTCAACCATGTTCGATTGGGAATAAAGGAGGAATGCTGCATCGCAGCCTTTTCGGACCAAAACCAGTCGACTCAGCGTCCAAAAGACTACAACATATGGGCCAATCGCGGTCATCCGTGCTTTTATAAGAACGAAATGGCGCTTTTAGTGAGATTTTGCATACAAATCCCCATCTAGTAGGGCGCAGTCACCCAGTTTCGGTGGAAGTGCGCGAGTTCGATTGGGATTCAAGTAGGAAGGGAGCGTCTCAGCTTTCTCGGACCAAGACCATTCGACTCAGCACCCCGAAGACTACAACTGGTGAAATTTTAATTTTTGCCTTAACTTCCCCTTTAACTTCGGATACAACGACTATCATGAATAACGACAATTCGCGAATAACGACATGCTTTTAGTGCCCCAAGGTCATATTCACTGCTTGAATAACGACTTTCTGGGCTTTTGACAGCTATTTCAAGTATTCTATTAAATTTCAGAAAATTTCGGTGCTCAATATTTTCGGTATGAAAGCAAAAGGCTTGGTTAGGTGAACAGAAATTTTCGGTACAGAGAAGCAGTTCCCTATTGCAGTATTGGATTATGTGTGTAAAGCGGGATTCACAGAAGCTTTTTTGCGATGCGACACGCGATGCGACGCGATCTGCGACAGACGCGTGCGATGCGAACTCGCGAAGTACCATTCACAGCAGGGAGTAGTACAATCTAGTAAAATAAATAAAATAATAAAATTAATAATGCAATGAATATAACTAAATGCGCACTCATATCACAACCATGGGGACGAATCATGTACATGTATTCCAGAACGTTTTCTTGTCACAATTATCAATGGAATTCGTGACTAAAGAGAATGATGAAACTACAATAGGATTTATACACTTGGAGTGGAACAGCGAGGATACAAGCATAGTAAGAAAAATAGCACAAACCTAGGAACAATGTGCACAGGTAATAAACTATAGGTGAGGTGAGATCGCACTCACACACACTTGCACATGCATGTCCATTGTCACACTGCACTTGCTGAATTTCCTATCATTTCTCACCTCACCTACAGAGTGTATAGTTTATTACCTGTGCACATTGTTCCTAGGTTTGTGCTATTTTTCTTACTATGCTTGTATCCTCGCTGTTCCACTCCAATTGTATAAATCCTATTGTAGTTTCATCATTCTCTTTAGTCACGAATTCCATTGATAATTGTGACAAGAAAACGTTCTGGAATACATGTACATGATTCGTCCCCATGGTTGTGATATGAGTGCGCATTTAGTTATATTCATTGCATTATTAAGATTATTGTCTCCACGTCGCCTTTTTAAATAATAAAATTAATAATAATTTTTTTTTTTTGAACGAAGGTAAGTTATGGGTCGCAAATATCCACGCAAACACACATCCAGTCATAATAAGGCACTTGTCATAAGTATCCGAACGTTTTCGGTCCCTTCTCATCAAGGATTATACAGGGAATGGCTCAAGCTGGAAAGACTAAAACTTATATAGCGTAAAGATAATTAGATAACAACACTCGTGACAAGGTGGAAAATTATCAAGTTTAGCACGACACAAAACTCGAAGGAAAATAATAATAGTGACAACAACATAGTGAGCAAATTAAGTTACATTGTTACCACCTCGACGAGGAGTAACACCAAACAATTGTAGCGACAACACATTTTCTTTCTGTACGCAAAGTTCAGGATCTAACTTACAGATATACAAAGCTTCTAACACAGCCAAATGTAACGCACATCTACCACGTGACAATATTTAGAAAACAGTATCACTGTACAACTCACGACAATTGGTACGGGCTGACAGATGTTGCTTGATTGACGAAGTGCTATTCTTAGCTCCATTGGGTGTTGTCTCCTCCAATGTCCCGTCATCTCGCCTCTTCGTGGCATCACCACTATCTGTCTCTTCGCGTTTCCGCGGCCTTCCACGTTTCTTGACACTAACCGTTGGGTGCGCGATACCCGGTGTCCTTTCCGTTACGTCTCCTCCATTGCGGATTTCTATTGAGCTTCTTACTCCAACTTGTCCGGTGTCCGATATTGAGGTTAGTTTTCGCGGTCTACCACGTTTTCGAATATTGACTGTTGTTGTCACTTCCGTTGTCGTTGTACGTTCGTCCTCATCAGTCCGTATTTTCACTTGGCTTCTCGTCACCCTTTCCGACGCCGACAGATCCTTTGTCAGTTTCGGTGGTTTACGTGTGGGTCTTGCACCATCTTTTATGCTGTTCTCAGCTGGCCCGTGTCCTACACACGCAGAGGAGGACGGGCATGCAGTCACATCTTCACGGGAAGAGGAAGATCCACCGATGGACTGGACAGCACATTTTGGAGGACGACCACGGCGAGGACGACAATCGCGCGCATCAAGCGGAACACAACTTAACGGCACATGTTGACGAATGCGTGCGCCCAGGTGCTGAAGGGTTCTACCTACATACCGATCTTCACATTGTCGGCATTGAAAGAAATAGATAAGGTTACTTTTACTAAGGGTAGGTAGAACATCCTTCTTCACACCGAACGCACGCACTGTCCCAAATATGACGTACAGCTTGACGCACGGATATGATGGACATACGATACCACGAACATCCTTCTCCACGCGTGCAGAACCGGTGCCAACCCAGGGTAAACGGAGCACCACTGGGCAACGGTCAGGTCCAAATTGGATAGGCTTGTCTGTCACCGGTTTTTCGTTGATTAGCTTGGCCAGAAATTCCTTTGGATAGCCGTTGTTCGTAAATATTGATGTCAGTCTGTCTACTTCGTCCTGCAATAGATGAGGGGAACATATTCTATGTGCACGATAAACTAGCGCCTTCACAAGATGTCTCTTCGATTTCGTTGGAGTATAGCTCCCCCACGGAATGTAGAGGCCGGTGAACGTTGGCTTCCTATAGATAGTGGTGTCCAAACTCTTAGTGTTAATATTCCGTGATATTTGTACATCCAAGAAGGATAAGCTGCCATATTAAAATAATAATAATAATAATAATAATAATGTTGGTTTGCGTTGCGCAAACCGTAGTTAACCAGCACGCCACGGGCCGCGCCCCCGCAGGGGAATATTCCCGCAAGATGACTTTAGGTGACCATACGCACTCCGCCGTGCCGCCGCAGCCGACTTGCGCAAGCACGCACTCTTGCAGAGTTCCGCATTCGGGTCGCACTCGCGTACGACATCCCGTATGAGCCACCCTTCGCCTGGCGGATGCATCCGTACCGTAGACGGCTCATCTACTGCTGGCCGGTGTAATTTTGCCAGTTGTCTGTTTTGCTGCGAGTGCTCGCCACGCAATTTTGTTTCCCACCCGCCCACGCCTACCGGACGGAGGGGAGGCACGGGCTCGGCCGATGGGCACGAAATCCGCATGGTGCACATCCATCGGCTGCCGCAGACAATACAATTAATAATACTTGTGGGTACTACCGAGTACTTAGTGGTCATGCAGTTGCCATAGCAATGTACTGGTACACCCAGCCTTTATGATTGTTACATGACCCCATGGGTCGTCTTTCAAACGCTCTTTCATAGCCGATAGATGGCGTTATTTGTTCCTATCATACTATGTTACAGATGGGCGGCCTTAGACGGCCCAGTCCGATCATTTCACGCGAACTATGTTATACGTCATCATGATCACAATAATCATGTCGTGCTCAAGTTCAATATAAGCTTGCGACACCCCACTGGCTCATCTCTTCTGTGGTGTGAGGGTTAATTATTATTATTGTAGAAGAGAAAAGGACATATGGATACGAGTTAAGAGTAACTCTCCATCACTGTAACATGATACTTTATACAGTCAGAAAGTGCAATAACTAGGCACAAAACTGACAGAGTACTGAAACATTCGACGTCCTGACACCTAGCTTCAACACATCTCCGTAGCGCTAACCAACAGCCTTCCAACTTGTAGCTTTTGCTCGTTTTCGTTGCGCTTGCCTTCCCCTCTTTGGTCTTTCCATAACCTTGAACCTTCCAAGTTGGAAGGCTGTCGGTTAGCGCTACCGGGAGATGTGTTGAAGCTAGGTGTCAGGACGTCGAATGTTTCAGTACTCTGTCAGTTTTGTGCCTAGTTATTGCACTTTCTGACTGTATAAAGTATCATGTTACAGTGATGGAGAGTTACTCTTAACTCGTATCCATATGTCCTTTTCTCTTCTACATTTATTT